TACGTCTTTCAGCTGAGGTGCGCACAAAGGCAGAGTTTAGATGAGCGTGCTCGCTCGTCCTGCCTGCTGTTGGGGCTGCTGCGGCTATTGCTGTTGAGGCACTGCCGCTGCTGCTTGCCCTGAAGCTTCCAGGGGAAGAAACACCACGGTGAACTGCTCGCTGTTCGTGCAACTGCTGCGGGTGCGGAGTTTGCTCCTGCTGCTGGTGCTGTCGCTTGGGCTGCTGCGCTCGCTGCTCGTCAGCCTCTTTGGGAAACGAAGGCTGTGGCCTCCACAGCGTATCCTGCGTACAGTACACTGAGTAGAGTTGCTGCAGTAGTCGTTGCTGCTCAGAATGCCTGGGGAAAGCTCCTTTACGTTAGCGTTTCTACTGCTGCTGCTGCATGCACACTACTCCCTACCGAAAGTTGTGTGGGACGCAAAAACTTTTGTGGTGCTGCAGCAGCAGAGAGTGGGGATGCCGTTTCTATATCTGCACCAGCTGTGAGCTGCGCCGATGTTGCCCGTCTATCCGAACCATGTCGCCACGAAGATTCTGCACCTCCTCCCACGGTCGGTGCCGGTATTTCTGGAGAGGGATCCCGTGGCAGGGCTACGGAGTGCCGTAGGCCTGCTGATGCTCTTGGTGTCAGCTCTGCACCTGTGTCTTCTTCACTGGCTCTTCCTGCACCGTCTGGGCCTGCTGCCACCGCGGGCTCACCAATTCTTACTCTGGCACTCGGTGAGCCTGCAGCGGCTTCAGAATCTGGGGCGCCGGCAAGTTGCTCCTGCTTCTCCGCGCCGGCAGCAACATACTTCTGCAGGGCAGTCGGGCCATCCTGTTGAAGATCTTGCTGACTTTGCCATTCTTGTTGCTGCTGTTCCAGTTGCTTCGCCTCCTGCCACGGCTGCCGTTTCTGCTGACGGGCTGTTTCGCCCTCCGTTTTGGAAGCGCATCGCGATACAATGCCCTCTCCTTTCACCGATTGCTCCTGCGGCTGCTGCAGGTGTTCTTGCTGACGGCCTTCCTCTTCTTTCTGCTCGTCGTGCAGTTGTGGCTTCTGTTGCTGGGGCTCGTGTCCTTGGTGTTGCCACTTCTGCTGCTCGTGTTGCTTCGTCGCCGTGGGTTCATCAGCACCTCTTTCAGTTGGCCTCAGTGTAGGTGGAGGTTGTTGCTGCTGGAGCAGCAGCCGCTGCTGCTCTCTTCGTTGCTTTTCTTGCACTTCCACTCCCTGCTGGTCCCGCTCTTGCTGCTTGTGGAGGCGAGGGTCGGGAACCTCCATCGTCCTTATTTGTAGCTCATCAGCGTCAAAAAACGCAGTTTCAGGGATCGGCAGCACGTTGCAGCAGCTGCTGCTGCTGCATGGGTTGCTTCTAGCTTCAGGAACATCCGCAGCCACCTCCAGTGGGCGGAATTGGGAGGTCAGCGCGTTGCTGCTGTGTTTCCCGCTGCTATGCTTGCTATTGCGGCTGTTGAATGTTTGCAACACATACTGCCGTTGCGGGATTCTATGCAGAGTCACAATGCAACTCGTCCGTTATGCAGACAGTTTGCCGTTCCTAGCGACCCTGCAGTAGATTTTGCCGCAGGCGCTGCTGATGTCGGAAATGAGATATTCAACTAGCAACCATTAATAAACATCCAGTTCACGTCTTTACCCTTTCGGTGCACTGCTTAGGTGGTGTTGCTGCTCCTTGCAGTCTCATGCGAGGCAGCTGTTGATCTCGTCGCGTCTGGCGCCTGGTGGAGCGCCTGCTGGACGAGATGCGTTCAATACAAAGAGGTGTACATAGAGCCGAGGACAGCCGCTGCTGCAGAGGCCGTTGGCATCAGCTGACCTGGGCCGACGTGCATGCAGGCCTGTCCTGCAACCAGTGCTAGAGTGTGTGAAGGAGGAGCTTTAAACAACTGTAGCGTTCCCCGTTGTCTTAAAAATGAGCTCCAATTTGCATTATTGTGTTCTGGAGCTCACCGGCTGCCTCGCGCGCGTCTATCCTGTGGCGCCGTGCAGACGCCTTCTGTTCTTACTGCGCTTCGCACAAAGTACGAAACAAAAACCAGGTCAAATAGAAAGGCAAGGTAGGCTCCCGCCGTTAAGTATAACTTATTCTGTCCCTTTAGGACGATTTAAAAGCCCGTTTTGTTGGTTCTCTGTTACAAGTGGAGTTTCTGCGCGACTTTGAACTCATGTAGGAGAAAAAGCAACAGGGTTTCCCACACATTCGCAGGCGCTATCCCTGCATTAAAGCAAACTGTGCATACACGGAAAACTTGCAGGCAGACGCTGATTCTGTAGCGCTTTCAATTCGGTCTCCTTCAGAAGCTGAAAGTGATGAATTAGAGTTTTAGCTGCACCAACAACACACGCTAGTATGGAAACGACTATAGCAGTACGTCCACTCTCTTTGCCGCCTTATATGGTTGTTGTACTTCTCCTACTGAAAAGGAGGTGTTGCTACCCATTAATTAAGGACAGTTCACCGGTCACCGTTTGTAGGGTCAGCGGTTTACACAGTCACTCATTACTCTGTGCCCTTCCGGGCCGCATGCAGTGTAGTAGCTGGCCTAGCGCTCCTGAGCGTCAATTCACGTTAGGGGGATAGATTGGATCCTTTCCCCTTGGGGCCTTTAGATGGGGTCAGTGTCCTGTAGTTGCGGGTACAACGTCAGGTACTATTCCCGACAAAGACCGGGTTGGTCTGTCGAGTAAGCCTAAATGTGAAGCCTTGGAAAATCCTCTGCGGTGATCCAGAATCAGCTGACCAACAGCTTTAGTCCCACCATGCTTAGAAGTCGTCTCTGCGGTATCGTTGGCAGCGTGTATCAGCTCTGCGACGGCGCTGTGGCTGCGCCTCGATGGAGCCAAGCCAAGCGCGACAGTAGTTTTGTGCTGCTTCGAAGGCTTAGCGTGACGCTCAGCTGTTGCTTCAAAGTACGAAACTTTAGTTGCTTGCGACAAAGTGCGGCTGTAGTAGCGGCTCAGCGACCCCACAGAGCAGAGGTGGGCACGCGTGCAGCGATTCTTCAGAGCTCTTGGATAAGCACTCTAACTCTCCAACAGTTTGGCTGCAGAGGCGTCTGCGCAGCACAGGAACTGAAGCCTAGTCTGCAAGGCCTTGTCACGAAGTCACTAGACCCTTGAATCAATCTAGAGTCGTTCTCATTTGGTGTGGCAGACGCACTCAAGATATGTCCGTTTTCCAGGGGTTTTGAGAGACGAAAACGAGAAGGGGTGGGAAGTACGCTATGCAGTTAGCGCCGCTTAACTCCATCTGCGGTAGCCAGCAGCCGCCTTGGGCTTGCAATGCATGTCGTAGCTGTTCAGTGGGTAGGAATCGTGGTCTGCTTATGGACTGTCTGAAACGCATCCGCACTGCGCTACTTCTCCACCATGTATTTTCACGTTTATGGTCATAGCGGCGCCAAACTCTTGACGTAACAAGTCTGATCGAGAACGGTACAACAGTGGAAAAAAACGTACTTTTCTGTGCGCCCGAGAACCCTGCCCACACCAACTTTCAAACACTGGAGAAAGTATGTCTGGGCAGTCACGAAGTACGGACAGTCTTTTTTCCGTGAAAAAAGAACATTTACTTATGCATGCATTTAGATATAAGGCGGCAACCGTAAATGGCGATTACGTAAACTTGCGGGGAAAAGTTTGGGGGCACCTTCTGCGCCTAGTTGAGTGTAACCCGATATTTCCCCCGAAAATAGCTTAATAGTGTGAAATATCCTCACAGTGGCTTCGTTCCGGTAGAGAATTCGGGAGGGAAAGCCTTGGGATGAGAGTGATGGTATCTCTATAGACGGTACGTGGTTCTGTTACAATGTATGCCATTCGAATAACTCACGGTTGCTGGACTTTCCCCCTAAATACGAGGAACTTCTACTACGCCTTGAGTAATATGTACTTTCTAGCGCGTTTGAAACGTAGAAATGCCGCACTTTTTGCCGTTCCTGAAGACAGCTCACAGCAGCTGCGGTCGCTCGGTGTAACTGTAACTCGGGTTGATATTGGATTTGATGGACACACGGTGGAGCGTCAGGCACCTTCGCCTCCTCTTTAAATAACTAGGCAGACTTTTGTGCATTGAATCACTTAGACGAGGAACAGAAGCAATTGACGGTGATTCTGGGCGGTTCCGTTCAATTTCGAAAACGTCCTCACTGCGTCTCAATTCGTCTTCTGGGAGCAGATGCTGGAAAATTAAGGTGAACAGCTCTGGAATACAACACATTTGATCTTGCTGCGCATACAGTGACCACTTTAAGAATGACTCACTGTCTAAAAGGGTTCGATTTCAATGCAACCAGCAGAAGACGTGCACATGCAACTATTTCCTTACTGTTGTGCGTGTTTGCATCTTAATATTGCCACATTATGCAGGCACATGCTCATGAATGTATTAAAATAGGTGTTAAGGGCGTAATTGTTGAAAAATTACAATGTTTGGGACCACCAGGCTATTGCGTAGATGCACACAGCCATCGCTCAGTTGCGGTGGTGCTGAGGACGATAGGAACTTGTCCTACAACGTTGCTTATGGATCTCTGCTTAGAACATGATATTTTCTGGTTTATCGCCTTATCAGAAGACCATACGCCATTGCTGATTTAGCGCTGGCCGGAGCCGACTGTCTCCTGATCAAGTGCGAGCATTCGGTGAAGTTGCAAATTTACCCTTTCCAAGTATTTACGAACAAGGAAACAAAAAATACTTCTGCAAAAAATAAAATCGACTTAAATTCAAGGTGAAGTTACAAGAAATGATGAATGCAGCAACGGCCGTTCCAATCGACAGAGCCTAGGACACGGTCAAGGCTAGGGGATCCTGCAGCGACGGGCAGTCTGTTGGTTTTTATACTGTCGGCCGTTACTGCTTGTATAAAAAAACAAGTGGTTATCGTCGTTTTCCAAATTGTACATTTAAGCAATGTAGTTGGTACTTGTTCATTGTCATCGCCCCTCTAAATCCCTAATCTCCCTTTTCGCACAGCCAAACCTGACGGCTGCTGAAATGGGCGTCGCTTTTCCTCTGTTACTTTCCCTGGCCATGATAAAAGCGGCCTCTGGCTATGGGAGCTCTTTTGAGTATGATCGACAGCCGTTGGTTGTGGCTTCCACGGGTGCCCCGGTAGCAGCAGCAGCCTTACCGTTCACGACCCCCGCAACAGGAGGCAGCCTCACGAAGGGCCCCGCTGAATCAAAGCCAAACCCCAACATCTGGACCAAGGGTATTTTGGAGCGCACGCGGCCCCTTGTGACCCTCACCCGGAAGAACGCAGCCGCTCCTGCGCTTCTCATCCTGTCTCTCTGTATCATTGTCGCTGGTCGCAGCGTTATTGCTTCTGCAGGAAAAATGGAGTCCCAAACTGAAGACAACGTGAGCAGCATAAGTGCTTGTCCCAAACATGAACCTTCGGGCAAAGCATCAAGCCAATACGAGATGCTCTGTAATCAAGGCTGTGTCCGGAGAGTATGCAGCAGTGTGAAAGAGGCCGAGAAAGAGCAAAGCGTCCGTGAATTGTCCGGAAAATACGTGCATCTAGGTCTTTTCAGTGTAACTGCGCTGCATTTTGCCTGTACTCATTGCGCATATGGTGAATGTTTCGCGCGCGGTATCAATGCTGCCATCGAACTGAGTAGCGTCGCCCGAGCGTTATAACAGCGTTCCCTATGGCAAACACATACGTGCAGAACATTGTGCGTGGATCTAATTGCTTGTGAACTGCCGTTGGTGCGGTACCAGCAGCAGGAGCAGAAGCAACAGCGGTGGCTTACTGCGTCTCCTGAATATTAGCGCGGCTAGTAGGGCTTCTGCGTTTGGGGTGATACATCAAGTCAACTTGCCTCAAGGAGTCTGTAGATGCTCTGCAAGCAGGGCAGTGCTTCTCTCTAAGCCCTAAATTACATGCTCTAAGCGCCACTGCTCACAATTACAGCAGCTTGGTTCAGTGCCAACCCACTGGAACACCGCTAAATTGCTTCTTCAAGCCTTGTTGCCTCATCCTTCGTGACCCCACAAAACCACTACAAGACCAGTGCAAAAGTGAAATCGTCACCTTAGACAAAAGTATGTATCGACAAGCTGCATGCTGAGTTGGGCCTGCCCGTTCTTGCCAAGCTTGTGGCCGTCGCTGAAAGCCTGAGGCCGCACCGGCTGCCACTGCTGCTAGAATCACGCCCTGTTCGTGAGGATTTTATCGCCTTTATTTTTCTCCTGGTGCACTGTAGATGGTCAAATTGTAATTGTGTAGGAGGGTACTCGGCTGCGTGAGCCCCCTTGCGGTCTGGCCAAAGCGATTCATGCTTTCATGGCAAAGGCAAAGCTTCGTGTACAGTGGAACCACGGCAAAGGTTGACGCTTCTACAGAGGGCACCAGAGCATTTGATGCCAAGTGGCTGCGTAAAACGGAGGGCATGCGTTTAAGGTCTTTCGGGGTAGTGCCTCACGCAGAGTGGGGCGAGGTGAACCCGTGAAGTGCCGGACATTAGAGTGACACGCTAACAAACAGTTAACTCGTGTGCTCTACTTCAGGCGTTTGAGCGGCTCCCAGCAAGCGACCCGGCAGTAGAGTTCGGCGTGGACACTACTGGCAGCTGAGTTGAGAGGTCTTCGCAGGCTGGCGCCTTGTGCACGCCTCACAAAGACAGCTGCTCGCAAGATAGGTGCCGTAAAACTTACTTCAAACTATCAAATGCAAATTGGCATGCCACAAATCGAGCAATGTACGATCGTATGGTGCAGATCGTCGTATGTTATCTATTGGTATTCAAGTTCAGCATGACACTGTGAGTGTGGCAGCTGCAACGTGCTTCTAGAATTCTTGCAGGATATGGCTGTGAGTTAAAGCGGTAAGTGCTGCAAAATGAATACGGAAATCAGCCTCGCATGCCGTTGAAAGCCGCCTGCATGTGCACATTCATTCCTAAAATATCCTAGCTGGGAAGGTCGGGAGACCAGCACTGTACAGCTTTGACGCCTTGGAATTTGCAGGCAGGCGAAGAGCGATGCTGAGCGGCCTTTTCTTTAGCACATATCAGCTGCTCCTATTTCTCATTGGCTTGGGTTGAATGGAGGCACTCATGCTGCGAAAAACAGTAGACAGAAGCACAGCCCCATCAAATCCAGTAGTCAGCTAAGTTATACACTTGGTGGTTTCATTTCCGGAAAAAGAACTATGGCCTGTGCTATCACAGCACTTTTGTAGTGCTTTGTGTGGTGCGCCTCAACCACTTGCGCCATGGGCAGAGGGCTGCTGCAACTTTGCTAACGTGGCAGCCCTAGAAGCACAGTGTAATGAAGTTTTGTGGTGTCCTCTCCATATGCCACGCATTTCCAATGGCCATTGTCGTCAATGGATGAGCAGCGGCATGTCTTAGCTAAATGCTGGATTGCTTCGCGCCCCTCATTTATGGCACCAGGAGGCTAACCATCAAATAACACGAGCCTGCTTTTTGGAATTGTGCGTGCGCATGCATTCGCGGGAAAAATTCGCATCCATTGTGTACAGCTTTGTGAATTCCAAAATAAAGTTTGATGATGCTGCGTAGAGTTGAGGAAGCAATTGAAAGGCTTGCACGATACGCTCATTGGTTCAGGGACTGTGGTTGTGGGCAGCAGTGGCCAAAGCACATTTTCCTTTTGAGAGCAGTTCCTCATTCTTATCCATCCAGCATAATGGAAGCTAGACAGCAGATGCATGATGTTGCTGGTGTTCTGTTGCACAATGAAATATGAAGTGCAGGCGTGCAGATAACGACACCTTTCTCCATGCCTTGGTAGAGGGTTGTGGCATCTCTTGTTACTTGAGTGTGACACTATTTATTGTTCAAATTACTTATACATAGAGTGATGTTCGCTGAAAAGTGACGTAGACGCATTTATAGTGCTGCAGAGCGTGCAATATTAGTTTTTTGTATCAAATAACTAATAATGTTTAGATAAGTCTAACATAGAAGTTCGAACTGGTTGATATCGCGAAATCATAAGAGATGAGATTAGCAGTGAAATGCTTTTTGAACTCGGAACATCCCTAGAGTGACTTTTATTCGTTAAGCGACAGCCATAGTTTCTGGTGACAAACTATTAAGAGGTTTGGAAAAATCCTCTATCCAACTGCATGGGCATAGGAAGGTCTGGTTGCTGATGGCGCTTCCCCACCGCCTCCAGTTGGAGACTGTAAGATGTTTAGGGAACGATGCGGCGCTTGAGAAGTCGGCAAAATGGCAAACAGCAGGCGTCCTTTTCGATTCCAGCTGGAATAGGGAGTAGTCGCCGCCATGCTGATGCCATGCGAGTGGCAAGATTGCAAGGACCCTGGGCGAACATGCCCTGGCAGGACGTGAGTGTTGTGGGAGCCGTGAAAGCACTTGAAGTAAGAATTGCATGGATGCGACTGCATTCACTCCAGCGAGGCCTGAGAGCAATGATCGTTTGTGGGAGTGTCCATTTGCGAGGTCAAGTGACCAATACGCGACCGAAGCGTGCACACGTACAACTTGTACCATCAGCGGCGATGCTCTTCTTGCTTTCGGACATCGAATTGCATGCTGGCCCAGGGCGTGAGGTGGAGCAGAATCAGTGGGAGTTGCTAGAGATCACAGGGTAGGTATCACTTTAGGGTATCGGCCTGGGCATTGTCTTTTCGCATGATGCACACCAAACTCTATCACAACAGCTACACAAAAGCGCGGATCACGACGGAAAGCAAGCGTACCTTACGCAATTTGGAAGTGAAATGAACGCTGGTGTCATCGAGAACCTGTACGTGCAGTGCATGCACGTTTTCTGACAATGCAGAGCACGAAAATAGCCAGTACGTAGATTCACCTACAAAAGAACGCTCGGCTGAAGGCTAAACGCTACCGAGCCGAAAATTGGGATCACGAGTAGGAAATAGGACGAAAAGCAATGAAACGCTCCTTTTCGAAAGTTGAGGCAGGTTGGGTGCTGTTGCCCACGAATTGCATGTAACCCGAGACTGTAAGCTTCATCTGGGGTTGCGCAGCAGTTAGTACTTCCCTGTAAATCATCAGTGGCTGATGCCAGCTCGCAGGCTGCTTTGGCGTGGGCAGGATTGATCCAGCGACGCTGGTGCCGTGGGTTACATGCCATGGGCGGATGCTGGGATTACTCAAGCAAGGTAAGTAAGTGCACACGCTCAATATGAGTTAGGTGAAATATTTCGGAGAATTTGGTAGGACCAAAGGGCCGGAATAAGAATGAGGAAACTGCCGAGTGTGTCGACCATATGTGATGAGTATGACGAGTGGACACTTCTGCGCGGCATGGTACGTTATAGTAGGCAGTGTAGACGAAGGGGGGTTTCACTTGCCCTTGGCACTATGCAACGGCCGTCTTCGAGTGAACATGTTCACATTTGCAGAATGCAACGGCTTCTTGCTCTGTGCAGCTCTCAAGCGCGGCCTAGGTGTTGAGATTTGTAATATGGAGTGGGCGCCTTTGCGCCGAACAATGAAATGGGCCACATGCATTTTCACGTAGAAGGAGTCGCCGTCTCCGCTGCTTTTGAGTGTTTTGTGCAGCGAGTAATTGTTAGAGTTCGGAGGAGGGACGCGTGCAGTTGACGAGTGCAACCAGACTCACAATAGGTGTTGTTCCTGCGTCGGAGGCATTTTGACCCGAGTTCAGGCAGTGGAGACTCTGAGAGGTGTGAGTTGTTCCGGATGATGGGAAGGTCGAAAAGGGACGCCTGGCGTGGTGGTCAAACCTTCTGGTTTCTGTCATATACGAGTTGCATATAGCTGGGGATAGTGAATCGCAGATGTGGGGGCGCGAGAGGTTGGGAGAAGGATTACGCGGTTTTGAGGAAGCAAGCCTTTTGTGTTCTTCATGCACGACTTGCATGCAGCTGGAGGTTATGAATTTCGGTTCCAGGGTTGCAACAACTTGGACGCGGAGACAGGGCGCGATTAGGCACTATTTGTTTGGAGACTGTTTTGAGATAGGCAGGACTGGTATGATGTTTGTGCTGTGAAAGCATGTCATGTAGCGAATCATGGAACAGCGAAACTCGGTACATCTGCCTGCATTGGCTCCATGTGGGCGTTGCGTTGCTGGAGAGCGGCATCGGCGACAGCTATGGGCTGAAGAGATTGCGTGCAGGAGACAACGTAGTACATTGGGCGTAACTGCATTCTATAACGCGTTGCTGCTAACCCGTAGCTTCGTTACCGCGGAGCAGTTAGGGAGGCAGGATTCTGGGGTGGAGCTGGGAATGATCGCCTCCACCGTGCAGTTGTCTGGTCCAAATGAGGTGTGTGTGAACATTGTAGGGATGTCAGTGCTGACACTTTTAGGATGACAGCCAGCACGACGCATCTGCTTCGCGTGGATGGGCAAGCTGCCAAGTTGGCTTCACTGCTGGTCTGGAGTTTTGTGAGCACCAAAAAACTGTGAGAGCTCGGAAGAAAAGACTTGCGCATTTTGACAGATGGGAGTTCACTATATCTAGTTGGCTTTGTTTGTGCTTCGGATCATCTTTTATAGCGAGCTCAGGAGGCCAAGATGCCGAGAGTTGTGAGTGTGTCTAGGATGGTGAGAAGGCAGGAACAACAAGCCTGTTTTGGGTAGAAGGCCATCTGTCTTTCGTGACGCACGGCTTCGATGCAGCCAGAGATAGTGAATTGCAGTTGTAGGGCTGCGGCAGCATGTGAGTGAAAATAGGGGAAAATAAGGTGGTTTTGGGGAGGCAGCCCTTTGGCTTTTGTCATGCACGGTTTGCATGTAGCCGGAGAAGGTGAGTTTGGACTTCTGGAACTCGGCAGCTTCGGCATGGAGATAGGGCGTGAGCGGGTCTTGCCAGCGCGAATGGTGTTGTGTGGAAGGCAGAGTCGGTGTGACGTTCGTGCTGAGGAAGGCTGCCGTGTAGCGAAAGTCTCGAGGGCGCATGCATGGTGCATGCTTCTGTATTGGTTTCATGCACGTGTTGTGTAACTGAAGAGGGGTTCTGGCGGCAGCTGTGGAATGATGAATTGTGAGGGATGATTTGATGCTGCAGAAAGCACAGGCGCCACTGCTTTAGCCTTGTTATGCTAGACGCAGAAATGTGTCGCAGGCCATATCCTTACTCGTGCAAGGGGAATGGCTGCGTAGATTTTCCGTGCTGTCAGGATCAGACCGAGGCAAGGCAAAACGCGTTCCGATTCGCTTAAAGACGAAAGCGTAACAATGTATATTATTGTCCACAACTGCAGGCATTGTGTCACACTTTCCGCGATCAATCACTTAGCAGCGCAGGTGGCCTCTGTGTAGCTGGTTTCACGTGTGACTTCAGCCATCAAGAGGTGGACGCCTGGCAATGCTGACGCTCCCGGCAGCACAGTAGCAACAAAAAGCGCGCCAGGACTAAAAATATATAAGCACACGCAACCGAAGTGCCGGGCGATCTGTCTTCACAAATGCACAGAGAGGGGTCGAATGAGTCGAGAAACCAAGAAAGACTGCGTCGGCGTGGAAGATGCTCATCAAGGCACAGTTCGTGAGCTAGCACTGCTTGCTGAACCCAGTTTCAACAGCAAAAATTGATAAGCATGTTTGTAGTTCGTTCTGCTTCTGAAGTTCGCAGACGTGCCGCGGGGTTGTCTGCCAGGTATGCAGTCAGAAAAGCCTGCACAGCTCTAGTCTGTCACGGAGCAGTATAAGCGGACCGGATACTTTACCTTCTTGTTTGGTGATTTGTTTCCTATGAACCATATAACTCTTCGAAATACTGCAGATGCACACAAAGTAGAGCATACTTGTCGACATTCAGCTCATAGCAACATTTCCGCATGCGACAAATTCCTACGATGCTCGAACTTCATCCACCTGGAGCCTGTAGGTATTATCCAAAAAACGTAGGCACTAGACATATTCAAGAGCGAATGCTAGTTTGCCTGTAAGGCATCCATGCATGGGTGTATGCGGGACGGTTTGGCCGTAGCCGAAGACGTTGAGTTGCAGGTGCATTGGGGCGTCAGCGTGCAGGTGAAGACGTGGCAGGTGTAGGGTTGGGGAGTGTTTGTGTTTTGTGAAGGAGCCCCTGCACGAAGGCTGAGCCAGTGCGTTTGGACTGAAGGAGCGCGTCGTGAGGTTAGGCGTAGAGAGAAGGCGTGGTACGAGAGAGGGCGTGCGTGGGAGGTGGCGTGTGGAGCGTGTGGGTTGTGTTCGTTGGGGCGTTTGGGGAGTTTGTGTTGGCGTGTGGGTTGTATGATAGTGACGTGGGGGGAGTTTTGAAGCCAGCGTAGAGGGTGGTTAGGGGAGGCGTTGTTTTGTGTGTGTCGGCAGGAAGGGGAGCAGTGGAGGCGGATTTGTTTGTGAGGCGTATTTGTTTGGGTGTGTGCGGGCGGGTTTGTGTGTAGCCGAAGACGGTGAGTTGCAGGTGCATTGGGGCGTCAGCGTGCAGGTGAAGACGTGGCGGGTGTAGGGTTGGGGAGTGTTTGTGTTTTGTGAAGGAGCCCCTGCACGAAGGCTGAGCCAGTGCGTTTGGACTGAAGGAGCGCGTCGTGAGGTTAGGCGTAGAGAGAAGGCGTGGTACGAGAGAGGGCGTGCGTGGGAGGTGGCGTGTGGGGCGTGTGGGTTGTGTTCGTTGGGGCGTTTGGGGAGTTTGTGTTGGTGTGTGGGTTGTGTGATAGTGTGCATTGACGGAGTGGGAGTGTTTGGTGGAGGGTTGTGTTCGTTGGTGGGAAGAGCGAGTGGAGGGGCGTTCGGTGGGGTTGTTGGCACGTGGGGGGAGTTTTGAAGCCAGCGTAGAGGGTGGTTAGGGGAGGCGTTGTTTTATGTGTGTCGGCAGGAAGGGGAGCAGTGGAGGCGGATTTGTTTGTGAGGCGTATTTGTTTGGGTGTGTGCGGGCGGGTTTGTGTGTAGCCGAAGACGGTGAGTTGCAGGTGCATTGGGGCGTCAGCGTGCAGGTGAAGACGTGGCGGGTGTAGGGTTGGGGAGTGTTTGTGTTTTGTGAAGGAGCCCCTGCACGAAGGCTGAGCCAGTGCGTTTGGACTGAAGGAGCGCGTCGTGAGGTTAGGCGTAGAGAGAAGGCGTGGTACGAGAGAGGGCGTGCGTGGGAGGTCGGCGTGTGGGGTGTGAGGGTTGTTCGTAGATGGGAAGAGCGAGTGGAGGGGCGTTCGGTGGCGTTGTTGGCACGTGGGGGGAGTTTTGAAGCCAGCGTAGAGGGTGGTTAGGGTAGGCGTTGTTTTATGTGTGTCGGCAGGAAGGGGAGCAGTGGAGGCGGATTTGTTTGTGAGGCGTATTTGTTTGGGTGTGTGCGGGCGGGTTTGTGTGTAGCCGAAGACGGTGAGTTGCAGGTGCATTGGGGCGTCAGCGTGCAGGTGAAGACGTGGCGGGTGTAGGGTTGGGGAGTGTTTGTGTTTTGTGAAGGAGCCCCTGCACGAAGGCTGAGCCAGTGCGTTTGGACTGAAAGAGCGCGTCGTGAGATTAGGCGTAGAGAGAGGGCGTGGTACGAGAGAGGGCGTGCGTGGGAGGTGGCGTGTGGGGCGTGTGGGTTGTGTTCGTTGGGGCGTTTGGGGAGTTTGTGTTGGTGTGTGGGTTGTGTGATAGTGTGCATTGACGGAGTGGGAGTGTTTGGTGGAGGGTTGTGTGGAGATGGGAAGAGCGAGTGGAGGGGCGTTCGGTGGCGTTGTTGGCACGTGTTGGGGAATTGTGGTGGTGACGTTATGCAGAATGGCGGTTTTGAATTGCACCCGCTGCAACAATGCCGCACGCCAGCGGTTGCGAATATGCTGATTCAAATAGAGTTTTCCCTGAAGGGCTAAGGCTATTTTTTTTTCTCAAGCCCCTTCGTTGCTCAAACATGAGAAGCCATTGACGCTTGCGTCTGTTTTGATGCCTTTCCAGGTCTTGAGGGGCATCAAACTAAGGAATTAATATGAGGAGGAAAACCAGGTTTGCTGGCGTTAAGTACGCTTTTATGGCGTATTTGTTACACACGAGACGGCTTCAACGTGATGCCAAGTATTTTAGGGGAGCCAAGAGCTTCTGGTACAATGCCTGGTTTCTTGAGTCGATGCTAGCTATGCTTCTGCAGCCATGTTGTTCCACCTTCATCTATGCAAGTGATGTGAAGCACGGTTGAGGCCCTGGGAATCGCTGGCTAAGGATAGTGCGCAGAAAATCAGTTGCGTGTGTAGCCGTATCACTTTGCGATGACTAAAGCACAAGGGTTAGTCCTGAATTATGTCCAAGCACGACGCTGTGTTCTTGCAGAGCAGTATAACTTCAGTTGTTATGACGCATCAATAATTGTTGAATACAGCATTTGCGCCACGCACGAACTGTGGAGTGCAGCGACTTACAGCGAAAGTGGCACTTTACCACCGCTACGCGACGCAACATGCTCGATTTTCTGTAAGTGCTGGAGCCTTGACAACAATAGGCAGCTGCCGCTCTGCGAAAACATGTTGCTTGTCAGTGCGGTTTGAAACTTGCATTTACGAAAAGCATCAGCAGCCTTGTCCGAGACCGTTCTGTTGAGCCTTCAACAGCAAGGCGCAGCGTTGGGTTCTTTGTCTTCGCATTTATATGAGGCTTTGTGTATTCAATGCTCTTGTAGGGCGCCCGGCTTTTCTTCGTTTACCACAAAAAATATCATTCGCGTGCAAGCGAGCATGCGCGACAAAATCAAGCAGCAGACCTATGACTCATTCTCACTACGCCAGTTATTTTATGTGTATTTCATCAGGAACCACGGCAGATGCCACGTTTTCTGCCGTCGCACTGTGTAAGAAATTGTTACATTAGTGAGTTTATGGCTCTGGCTGAACCTGTTGGTGTTTTACAGCTGCAACCGTAATGTCACACAACTCAGTGCGAGGAGCAACTGCCTCTTCGGCTGTCTCTGATTTTTCCTACCAGATAATTAGTCCTAAATGAGTGGAGCTGTCTGAAAGAACTGGAAGACAGCGTGACCACCGCAAGCTATACATCGCCGAGTTGCTGAGATCGTGAAAAGCCGCAGCACTCCTACTTTTAGTGTGAATGTGATGCGACCACCTCACCTGTGTTCGCATATGCGCGCCGTCTGTGACTTCCGCATGCATATTTGCTTCCATTGGGGCGATGAATGCCGATGCGCAGTTGAGTATGAGACGTGAGACGGAAGGTACTTCTGAGTTTGACTTTCACGGTGTCGTTGAAAGTGCCAAAAACATCTGTGAAGCTGAAGGCTGTGACGCTTAGCTAAAACAGCATTAGGGCTGCAAACTGCACCTGAGCTTTTTATGACAAGTGGCGGCATTTATGGCTCCACTTGGTGGCTTGACGTGCGACAAACTATTGGTAATTAAGAAGACTTTACCGGCAAATTCAGGTTGTCAGCACTGGAACAAGACCTTGTATGGCGCATCGGTGTCGCTTGAAGGGTTAAATGTTTTCTAGATGAGAAGTGAGTTACAACCGAGTTCTGAAGGAAGTTCCCCGTTGCGGTGACGGCTTGACAGGAAGTGTGTGCCACGAAAGGTGAAAAAGGAAACTGATAAAAAACGATGGAATGCAAAGGCATAGGCGCTCCAGTGATCCCTTTTGCTGATACCCAGATAGTGCACGGTTGTCGGGTTTTATTTCAGCGCGGCAAAGCCAGTACCAGCTGTCTTTGGGCAATGTGTTGCGGACTCCGAAAGAGCCAAGGCAGGCACGGGCAGACACTGGGGGAAAGTTCACTAACCACTTTTATGAATGCCACGATGGACGGTGACAACGTCTCCGCGGTAGCGACACAAATTGTACTTCTTGGGTGCTGATTGCAGCAAATGGCGGCTTCGCAGTGCATGCGATTAGGAATACGGAGGAAAGTAATCTTCAGGCACAGTTTCAGGATGTGGTTGTTAGAGGTGCCCGCACATTGCTTTCAGCTCAAGGCTGTGAGTCACTGCTGAGGTCCTTTTGTATCGGTGGCTTTATTCCAATCCCTTCATTGTAAAATAGCTCGGGCTGCTCGTTTTGCAGACAATGGCTGTTTGAGGTGATGCGCCGTACTGCTGGCTCCTTCTTCAGGGAAACACGCTGAGGGCATACGGCATTTGTACCTCGCACCTTTTACAGTACTTCTGGGAAATATAAATCTCTATATTTTTTTTTTGAAGCTTCGCAAAACTGGAAAACTCGGCTGCTTGTAAGGCTGACTTTTGGTGTGCAGCCGAAGACTGTGAGCCTAACTTGAATCGACAGGGCAACTGCAGAATGCGCGTAGGCTGCCAGTCGGTGATTATGCCTGTCGTGGAGGATCTTACCTGAGATACTACCGGGCTTGCTAGCGGCACGCCTATCATATTGCGCACAGTGAGCACACGTATGTGGGTATCTACGTTGAATCTCTGAACATTCATGAAAGGTGAGAGAGGCGTCGACCTTGGGAACAGAATAGGCGGCACTGCGTTGGCGTGGTAAATTCTACTGGGCGCAGAATTGCATTGTAGGCAATATTTTCATTCGTGCAGGGGAGATTGATCTATAGACACCCTGTGATTTCGGGCGACTGCTGAAGATCTCTAGCAAATAGAAGCAGAGGTTGAATTTCTGGACTTTTGAGGCTATTCGTTTGCAACCAGGAGCAAGGGATTTTGGCTGCGAAGGAAAGGGATTTCCGACGACTGTCAAGCATCGAAATTCATAAGCAGTTGACGCGCGCCGCCCGAGGGTCCTGGTGGAATAAGCACGAGGCAAAGCAGAACAAGTTTCCGGTTTATTTAGGGAGGGAAATGTAACATTGCCTAGTATCATGGGCAACTGCAGGCAGTATGTCACACCTAAGGCGAACAAGGGAGTAGCAGCGCAGGTGGCCCCTATGCAGGTGGCCTCACGTGGGATGGCAGTCATCAAGAGGTAGACGCCTGGAAATACTGACGCGTGCTGCAGCGTAGTAGCGACAAAATACTCGCTAGGACTGCAAATCTGTAAGCGCAACCAACTGAAATACTGGGCCATTCGTCTTCACAGACGCGCAGAAATGGCTGGAATGAATTGAGAAGCCAAGGAAGACGACGGGGCAGATGCTCATCAAGGAACACTTTGTGAGCTAGCACTGCCTGCTCAGCCCACTTTGAACAGCGAAAATTAATACGTATATTTGCAGCTTGTTGCCTTTTTAAAGCGTGCAGGTTTGCCGCGGCCTTGCTTGGCAGCTATGCAGTCAGCAAAGGCTGCACAACTTTCGCCTGTCTAGGTGCAGTGAAGGGCGACAGAATGTTCTCCCTTTTTGTTTGGTGATGTGTTTCTTATGAACCACATAACTCTCCGAGATACTGCAGATGCTTAGAAAACAAACGGCATAATTCTCGAGATGCAGCTCGTCTCAACGCTTGTGTTTGGCAGAAACTCTTGCGATTCTTGAACTTCATCTACCTAAAGCCTGTGAGTCTTATCCAATATAGTATACGTTTGCGATTTCCCAGATAAAACGGTAGTGTTTGAATCCATTGGGGACATAGCTCGGCGTGAGGCAAACTGTTTGTGGTTTTCGCAGCGGGGGACGCATATTTTGCAACAACTGGACGGTGCAGCTAAGCTAGTCGTTCGGTGAACATTAGCATTTCACGAGGCACAGGAAACATATATTGATATGATATGCTGAAAAACCGCAAAATGGCGGAGAAGTGAATGTATCTTGCAAGTACCATTCAGGAACGGAGCAATGACTTCAATGAACATCAGAGACCGCTGATTTACAGAAATTGTCCTTGAGGTCTTTGTTCCTCAGTAGAGCGGAAACACAAGCGGGCAGACTTACGGCTGAGCAAAATGAAAGGAAGTGCATCAATGCAAGCTACAGTCGCCAATGGAAGCGGCCGACCGTTGTGGGTCTTAACTCTGTGTAGGGTTCGAAAAACCTTCAATGTTTGGAATACTGCTGTGGATGAAGTCATGCTAAGCCACTGCAAAAGAGATGTTACTCTATTCTGGTGGAAAGGCGCAGCCGCTGAAATTTGTCATGTTTTCCCTCCAGCGGAAGGTTGTGAGTCTGGCTAGGCAAAAGATGTGAGCTGTCATATGCAGCTCCTCGTATCATTGGTAGGTCCTCATGCGACGAAGGGCGCGCAGGGGAGGCTGGCGGAGACGCGCCAGCGTACGATATTTGTGCAACCGTTGGCGGTACATGCACCGCGGTAAAACGCGATGTTCGTTTCTCCTTGTGGCTAGACAAACTGCAGAGGAATGCCTTGATTGATATGTCTAGAGGCGCTGTGTAATGCTGCACTCGGCGTTGCCTGAGGTTCCAGAAAGCGTTGAACGCCCTGCTGCTGGAGTCCTCCTCGCAGCTATGCTGGTTGACATTGTCGCATGCACTGTGCACCTCGGT